AGCAACATACTTATATTAGTAAAAAAAAGTGGAAACAACCCAACTGCCCATCAATTGGTGAATGGATAAACTATGGTATAGCCATACAATGGAATATTATTCAGTCATAAAAATGAATTTAGTACTGGTTTTTGCGACATCATGGATGAACCTTGAAAAAATTGTGGTAAGTGAAAGAAGGCAGGCACAAAATAACTGTACAATTACTTTATACGAAATGTCCAGAATACGCACATCAATAGAGACAGAAAGAAAATTAGTGGGGAGGTGAGATGGGCTGCTATTTCAGACTGGGTAGTCAGGGAAGGCTCTCGCTACAGCGGTGGCATCAGAACAGAGTCCTGACTGAAGAAATAGAATATGCCATGCACATCTTCTTGGGAAGTGCATTCCAGGCAGAGGGAACAGCCAGTGCGAAGACTAAGGTGCAAAGAGCTTATTGGTGGGGGGAGGGAAGGTGGAGATGAGGCAAGTCAGGAGGGCAGAGCTACATGCTATAGCATCGAGAGTGCAGGAGTAAGAGTTTGAAGGACTCCTAAGACAAAGGGAAGCATTGGGGAGGAATTAATACTGGATGGAGGATCAGACACAGATGGATGTTTTGAGAAGACCACTCCGGCTGCTGTATGAAGAATGAACTGGGGGATGGACCATAGAATGTAGGAGACAGGATCAGGGAGGAGGGACGAGAAGGAGGTGGCTTTCTCCCTCATGGGAGCTAGGCAAACAGTGACACAGAAGACATGTTTAAGAAATATTTTGGAGATAGAGTCCATGAGATTTGCTAACACAAAGAATGTTCATCTCCCAACAAGCAAGAACATTTTTTTCTGTTCCTTTTAGAGGCTTTCATTCTTCTCTAATCCATTTGTAGAGAGAGCAAATGAGGGTATTTTTAGAAAGTCTTCAGGAGTTAGAGAGAAGGAGATGAGGTTCAAGTCCCCACCCCCAACCTGGACTCTCAAAATTGAAGCATGGCCATGTCCACAGAAAGAACCACACAAGAATGCTCATGGCAGTTTCCCCATAATAGCCCCAAACTGGAAACCACCCAATCCATCAACAGTAGGACAGATAAATAGAGTATGTGTATTCCTGCAATGGAATACTAGACAACAATGAAAAAGAAATCTGCTACCAGCAACAACTTGAATGCTTCTCAAAAACATTATGTTGTGAGATGGATGTACCTAGAGAACATCATGCTAAGTGAAATAAGTCTGTCGGAGAAAGACAAATTCCATATGATCTCACTTATATGTGGAACCTAAAAAACTGAATGAACGAGCAAAGTAAATAGAAATAGTCTCAGAGGAACAACTGATGGTTGCTACATGGGAGAGGGGTAGGGATGAGGGAGAAGGGGAAGGGATTAGACAGCATAAATAGTAACTACAATATTGCCACAGGGACATGAAAGACAATTTGGGGAATATAATCAATAGTGTTGTAAATATTTTGTAGGGTGTCAGATGGACCATTTCATAGATGGTGTAGAGGCTTGGCCACTGCACTGTACACCTGAAGCTGACGTTGAATAATATTGTATGTCAACTATAATCGAATATATATATATAGTCACAGGAAGTGGAGTATAGTGTGGGGAGTGGAGTCAATGGAATTGTAATAGATATGTATGATGTTGGGGCGGGGAGTGGGTTGGAGGAGGGGGGTTGTCACTTTGTGAGAGGTGAAAAGGATAACTATTGCATTGTTTTGTATACCTGAAACTAATTTTTTTTTAAAAAGGCAACAATTTGGACAAGTTAAAAAAAAAACATTATATGGTACAAAAAATTTCCAGACAAAATAAGAAAACACACTGATGATTCTCTAATACGAAACTCAAGCCCAGGCACAATTAGTTTAATTTATAGTGACAAACATCCCAGTGGTGGTTACCTTGGAGTCAGAGGCAGAGATTGACTGGAAAAGGGCACGAGAAAACTTTCTGGAACCCTGGGTATGTTCTAGATTTAGATCTGGGTGTACTCACTTGTGAAAATGTCATTGATCACCAGTGATAAGTCATGTGAAGACCATGTGCCCCCTGATATGAAGTGATGAGAAGGACACTTCCCCCAAATTAATAACTCCAGTCCAATCATGAGTAAAACATCAGAGAAACCCCAATTGGGGAACCTTGTAGAAAATACCTCCTCCAAACTGTCAAGGTCATGAAAAACAAGGAAACTGTCATAGGCCAGAGAGGACTGAGGAGGCATGACAATTAAATGCAACATTGTATCCTGCATGGGACCTTGGAACAGAAAGAGGACATTAATAAAAAACTACTGAAATCTATATAAAGTCTGGAGTTTTGTTAAAGCAGTGTCCCAATGTTACTACTGGTTTTCACACCTGTATTGTGATAATTAACAGGGGACACTGGGAGTGGGGTATATGGGAACTCTAGACTATCTGTGCAATATGTGTGTGTGTGTGTGTGTGTGTGTGTGTGTGTGTGTGTGTGTATATATATATATNTATATATATATATATATATATATATATATATATATAATTATTCCAAAATAAAAAGATTGCTTTTTTAAAAACAAAGCATCGAGCGGAACATTTAGATTTGACATTCTAACTGTATGTGAATTAGCTCTCAGTAAAATATTAGGGGCACAGAAGCAGGTAAGATGTTCCCCAACCCGGCCAGCGCTCCGCCCAGTTGCAGCCTCTGGGACTCCCGCCAACCACAGTGCAGATGTAGCACTGGATCTCAGGAAAGGGCTGCTGACTTCTCCAGCACCTCCTGCCTTTCCCAACACAGGGCAGCGTGCAACAGCCACACAGGCACCTAGTATTCTTGCCAAGGCATCTGAACTCCCTTTTCACAAATCCTTCCCCCTCTTGAGCGTTATCATTGAAAGTTGAAACCCCCGGGGCGTGACACAGTGACACAGACATCAGCCATCAGAGAGAGAGGTGGCTGCTGAGGCCTCACAGCCTCCAGCCACCCCCAGGAGCCGGCCCTGAGCAGCAGGTAAAAGAGGAATCACCAGCTCTCATGAGAAGGCAGGCCAGGCCAATGCTCCACGGTGTAATGATTAAAGCATGGGACCCCAGAGCCACACTGTGAATTCAAGTCCCAGCTCTGCTACTTGGCAGCTGAGTGACAGTGGGCATATTAGTTCACTATTCAGTGCCTCCAATTCTACACCTGTGAAATAAGAATGATAGTTCCTGCCTCATAAGGTCCCCAATTTTTTACACATACTATGCCTTTAAAGTGTAAGGACCCGCCTCACCACCCTTCAATTCTTTATAATCCTGGGACTATATTATGTCTTCCCGCTGACAATGGTTCTCCACCCCAATATCTCCCACCTCCCCACCACTAGCCCTCTAACGAGAGAGGTCCCCCCCTCCAGGATAAGGCCATTCATTTCACGAACAAATACCTATTGAGCCCTCTTCCACTGTGGAGACACACCACCCACTGAAATGAAACTGGCCTCTGTTTACATCTTAGTTCTCACCCCTTCCTGTCCTCTGACACACTCTTGACATACCAACGGCCTTCCCCTTCCCCCCACCTCCACTCCTTCTTGTGACTCTTACACACCCTTCAGATCATCCTGAAATGTCACTTCCTCCAGGAAGCCTTTGCTGACTCCCCTTGCCCTTCACACCTCCTGCCATCTCCCCTGCCTTCCCCCACTAGCCAGGAACTCTTCGCATCTGTTTTATTTGCTGCTCTGTCATCTACAGGACCCAGCTCAAAACCTGGTACCTGCTAGCACTCAATATATGTTTGCTGAATGAGTGAATAAATGAATGAATGAGCGAAGGACCTGGGGTATTAGGGAAGGCTTCACAGAGGAGGTGGCATTTCCCTGCATCTTAAAGAATGAGTGGAAGTTAACCAGGGGAAGAGTGGGGGAGGGTGTTGCACTGTTGAGGGACAGCCTAGGGATGTGGCGGAGGCTGACACCTTCTGGGGCTCAAGGGGAGGTGGCATGGAGGCTACGTACGGTATTAGGCTAAGATATTAGGGGCTGATCATATAAGCCAGTGATTGTCAATACAGAACATTCGAATTCCCTGGGCCCCAACTTTGTGGAGTCTGGCCCAGCATTCTGGGTCCCTCAGATTCTAATGACAGCCAAGGTTAAGGACCCCAACTAGGGCAATCAAGAAGGAACTAGGAGAGATTTTTCAAGCGGGGGAGGAACATTTTCAGGTCTAACACTGTGCAGGGAGTGAGGCTAGACAGGGAGTGATGGCAGAAAAAGGAAAAATCAAGAGAGATTCAGGTGTGGCCGGGTGGCTCAGTTGGTTAGAGCGTGAGCTCTGAGAAGCAGAGTTGCCGGTTTGATTCTGAGATGGGCCAGTGAGCTTTGCCTTCCCCAGCTGTTGGGTTGTCAGAAAAGTCATGACGTATTTTTTCTGTTTTTCGTTGCAAAAATGCATCATGACTTTTCCAACAACCCAATAGTTTGAAGACAACGACTTGAGCTGAGCTGCCTCTGAGCTGCCGGTGGGCGGCCAGATGGCTCAGCTGGTGAGAGAGCGTGCTCTTAACAACAAGGTTACTGGTTCGATTCCTGCATGGGATGGTGGGCTGTGTCCCCCACCCCCGCCCCCCGCAACTAGATTGAAAACAGTGACTGGACTTGGAGCTGAGCTGCGCCCTCCAGAACTAAGATTGAAGGACAAATTGACTTGGAGCTGATGGGTCCTGGGAAAAACACACTGTTCCCTAATAAAGAAAAAAAAAAAAAAAAGAGAAAGAGAGAGAGAGAGAGAGAGAGAGAGAGAGAGAGATATGCAGGCGCCCACTGAATGTAGGACAGGAGCCCAACAGTGTTGGGGTTCAGTGATCACAAAGGTGAGTCACAGTCCTACTACTTTGAAGTAAGCGGAGCATCTAAGAGGAGCAGGTGTGTATATGATCTGTGTATGCTCACCGCACACCCCACCCCTCCCAACGCACCCACACAAATGCACACACACATGCTCAGCCTTTCCTCTCTGAAACCAGCTGCCCATCGCAGCGAACTGCATGCACACGCCTGCACCCTAAATCTAAGAGATCTCCAGCCTTATGAAAATTTGCTGGCGCACAACATTGCAAGGTGAGGCCCGGCACAAAGCCAATTTCCACTGTATCAGTTTCCACACAACAAGACAGGCACGGAGCTTCAGGCTCCAATGGTTCTGCCTTTTCAGAGACGCAGTTGCTACTTTCGTAAACACTGGGTGGGGGCAGGGGGAGATGGCAGACACAGACAGTGGCTAAGCTACTGCTCATTACAGACAAGCCCTGATACAGAGAGGAGGGGGGAAAAATCCAGTTTGTACTATCTTCCAATATTACAGTATTGTGACTTATAACAGCATCTACTGTATCGTGTTTCATTACAAGTGCCAAAAGGGGAAAAAAAATTGAATTACCATGCTAATGTCTTCTCTTTGGCTGAAATCTGTGGTTCAGGTACGTGGCGATAAAATACATCATTAGTCGCTTTTAAGCTTGTCTTTAATGATGAAAAAAACATTGTGGAGCATGAGGGAGAGACATAACTAAACGCGGGCGGCTGGCAGTATTGGGAGCCTCTTGTAAACCATAATGTGACAGTGCAGTTTCTTTTTTTCCCTCTGAGATGACAGTTAATTCCAGACCAGAAAGGCTGTCAAAAATGCTTAGTTCTGCTCCACTTGAGTTAATTACCGGCCCTGGGGCAGGCTGCCCTCCACTCCTCTGCTAATGGGGCTGGGCTCCAGGTAAAAAATCCATTTGCAAGAATGTTTTCCTTGCTCCAGACCTAATTTATTGAATATCAAATATTTATGCCAATGCAATTAAAGTGACAACACTGCTCTCTCTTCTCCCCCCCCCGCCCGCCAGCCCCCCAGTCCTGGGCAAGCCCAGGCTTGCTGACAAGAACGCTTTATCCCATCAACACAGGGTAAAAGTTTTACTTGAGCTTCTAAAGCAAGAGCTTTGAAACCCCTTCAACCCACGAAGTCACCTGGGATTCTTCTTCTTTTGTAGGAAGCCACGTGACAGGTTAGGGAGCAATGGCTGAGCAGCGGGGAGCAGGAGGCAAAGAGAAGAAGAGAGAGGGAGCCCCGACTTTGGTTTCCATTCCAGCATCTGCTACGGCCTTCTATGTTCCTGTGAAGAGACATTATGGTGAGAGAGATGGAGCAGACTTGGTCCTTCTCACAACAGCCTCCCGGCCTGAGAGAGGGGACGGCTCTGGGCACGTCTAGAAGAGGTTCCAGAAACAAGTCATTATAGATCTTGGGTTTGGGGCCTCCAAGGCTCGAAGGCCATCAAAGGCCCCTCCCACCCAACCAGACCTAAACTGCACAAAGTTTCAGATCTAGCCAAGCATATTCCATCTTTTCCCAAAACCCTAGTCACCCAGCAAGAGGGCCTCCGACTGTCTAGGCTCTGGAGCCCGGGGGCATTCCCCATTGGGGCAGCTCTCAGCCCATAGAATCAACCCCATCATCACCCCCATAAGTCTCTTGCACCACAAGATACATGATTTGACATCTGCCCCTAACAGAGGCATGGCTGGTAAAGATGGGCCAATGAACAATCTAATGTGGACCTCTCCCAGGTATGCCCTGAAAATGCGAAAAGGGAATGCATTTGACTAAAGGACTTTTTCTTTTCTCTTTTCCTTCCTTTCCCTTCCCTTTTCTTCCCTGAAGCAAGGAAGCTCAGCAAAGCCCGGGCCAGCAGGTAATATTGTGGCTGTGGCCTATGAGAGGCTGTACGTCTCCGGCTGGGAGTCTTTCAGGGGCCTTGTTGTCTACACATACCTCTTCCTTCCTGCAGTGAAACAAAGGCCTTTCTTGGGTCTGAACTGGGTTTTGAAAGAGAAACAGGCACGCACAAGGTGAACCACAATGCTTAGTGGAGGGAACACAGGACACGGTGCACGAGGAACTGGAAGTAGATTGATTTTTATTGGAGCCTGAATTGCAAGGGAGTGAGCCCTGGGAGTATAAGCATCAAATGAGGTAATGTAAGCATGTTAGAAAATGTCAAGTCCGATAAATATGAATGACTCTGCCACATCACAGAGGTATTGGGGAACCAAATGATATGTTATATGCACCCATGCTTTACATAAATTGTAGTTGTTATAAGATATTTTGGAAGAAGATGGATTAAGCTTCAACCACGGAGATGGCTCAGAAAAAATATTTTGTTTTCATTTCTTTGATCCTACCTTTTTAGGACTATTTATAAACTGGGGTATTTTGATAAATTTCCTTTCTAGTCTCTGTTTTTTGAAGGAACATACTGTATCCAACTTTAACATTTACTGTTTATATATTCATGGTTTCCTGTCAATCCAACCACCTTGCTTTAGATTTGAAGTTTTATGATTGTTTTTTTATGACCAGACAATTCTTGTCTGTGAGTGTAGGGGGAAGAGGGTTAGTATTTCTATCTCATTCTATGTCTTCAGTTATCACCCTTTTCAGAGACATTATCATACCACACCTGAACTATTGCCATAATTTTATTATTATTATTATTAGTTTCAGGTGTACAAAACAATGCAATAGTTATCCTTTTCACCCCTCACAAAGTGACAACCCCCCTCCTCCCATACACTGTTGCCCACCCCCGATATCATACATATCTATTACAATTCCATTGACTCCATTCCCACACTATACTCCATATCCCATGACTATATATGTATTAAATTACAGTTGATATATAATATTATTCAATGGCAGCTTCAGATGTACAGTGTAGTGGTCAGGTCTCTACACCATCCATGAAGTGGTCTCCCTAACAAGACATGAGACCATCTGTATTGCCATAATTTCTTAGCTGTCTACTCTGCCTTTAGTTTCCTCTGTCTCAAAAACCATCTTCCTCTTGGCTGTTCAAATATAAATATCATTTTTACCATTAAAAGTAACTACAAAAGAACCTCTGTTATAGCCACTGTGATAGGACAAGAAAAAAAAAGAAGCAAAACTGTTGGGAAGGAAGAAACAAATTGATCATTATTTACAGACAAAAATCACAGAAAGCAAAACCAAAAAAAAATCACAGAAAATCTACTCAAACTAATAAGAGGTCAGTAAAATAGTCTAATACAAAACATATTATATACTAACAATAGCCAATCAGAAATATAATTTAAAAACTATGGTTCATAAAATATATCCAGCTACCTTGCTGACAACTCCATGAGAATGTATTGCAGAAACCTCAGTGCAAAGGTGACTTTTGGGTTTTCGGCTCAAAGTTGCTCCCCCTCCAGAGATTTCTAGCACAGTGGGGGCCCTTCCATCTACCTGTGTTCCCTGGCAGAGCCCTAGAATCCATCCCTGCTTCCTCCTTCTCTCATACCCCAATACAAAAATCTGTCACCAAACCCTGACAATATCACCTTTTATATCTATCTGCTTCTCTTCAACCCAACTGCCTCCATCATCTCTCACCTGGACAACTATAGTAACTCCTCACTGTTCTCCTGTTTTGGGTTCCTTGTTCTCAAACTGTCTCCTCAAGGCAGTCATAAGGCTCTTTTGAGATTTTAAGCTAAACGCCCCCACACGCCCTGCTGCGGATAGCCCTTCACTAGCCTATAAATCCCATATCCTCACCATGGCCCTACATTTGCTTGGCTCCCCATGGTCCTTGCTGACACTTCTAGATCTGGCTCGAGCCCCTCACCTCCCCACTCCCTGTGCCACAGCGACACCAGCCTCCCTTATATTTTCTCAAGTCCCCCCAATCTCTTCCCCACTTCAGGGTCCTCACCTTCTGTATTCCTTCCTGCAAATAAGGATCACTGACCTTCCTTCAGGAAGATTGAGTAGAGCCAGGGAGAAGTTAATCCTTGTCCAAGATCTCCCCAACTCCCTGGGCCTCAGTTTCCCCATCTACAACATGAGGTGGTTGGACCAGAGGTTCTCACTGGCATCTATGAGCTGAAGTGACAGTAAGAGGTGATGGCAGTTGAATTGGTGGGGGAGAATAGGAAGTGGAAAGAGGGGACACAGGGAATGGTCCTGAGGGAGACAGCCCAGAGAGAAAAGTCTAGAAAGCTAAGAGCAACCACTTTCAGGGTATTTAAAACACTCAATGCTATCGCTGTAGTTTTATTGGCCGAACAACTCAGATTGAATCTTAACAGTATTTGGGGCCATCGTAATAATCTTGTCATGAGGAGAGAAAAGCCAGTCAACTTGTGGCATTTAAATATTAAATACATGCACTATATTGAAAACCTGATTCCATTCCATAAAAATAAGTCACATCAGCCAAAACCAAGAAGAAGAAGAAGAAGAAAACAATCTCGTTCACCCATGGAAACAGTTTTCTAGGTAGCCAAAAGAAGGCACGCATTAGCTGCCTCTGCTCCTGGCTTCCACTGAGACTCCTGGTTGTCTACTCAATGTCTTTCTTTCTTCCTAGCAGAACATTGGTTTTATCAGCGGAGCAATGTACTCAACTAAAGTGCTACATTTTCCAGCTTCCTTTGCCAAGAGGGGTGGCCACATAGCATTGTCTGGCAAATGACATGTGACAAGAAATTGCCAGGTGGACTTCAGAGAAATGTCATTAAAAGCGGGGCAGATTCAGTGGGCACGTCTTTTTTTCTTGTCCTTTGATTTTTAGGGTTTCTTTTTCTCCTTTCTTCAACCATCTTCTGACCTTTAACCATCCTGTGAACTTGAGGTGACCAGAAAGGACAGGCCAAGAGGACAGACCTATTTAAATCCCAGCTCTACCACCTGCCCACTATGAACGTAGACAATTCATTTCAACTCTCTGAACCTCATTCTTGTCTATCAAATGGGAGACATAATGTCTCACTTACAATACTGGTAGGACTAACTGAAATATTTTATTATGCATAGGTGACAGTGTTTTGTAAATTGTATAACTAAAAACAAAGCTAGGTTGTTTGTTTATTGGCCTCCTCCCCTTCTTTTGTAAGTGACAGGTGTTCCTCCCACCTAAATGTAGAATACTTTAAAAGTTAGAATGCTACATTTCTGTATAACATTCTTTCATAGTTGGAATATCTATTTCCTTCACATGATACCAATCTATTATATTATCAGATGCAGCCAAGGGTCTTTTGTGTACAGTCTGGTCACATGCAAATCACAAGTTAATTTGTGTTCTCCAACTTCAGCATCAATAATGTTCTAAGTCAACCAGAAATTTCAGATGCACCATCCTTTAAAAACTTATCTTGGGCCAGCCGAGTGGCTCAGTTGGTTAAGAACTTGCTCAAGAGTGTGAGCTATGAGCAACAGTGTTGGTGGTTCAATTCCCACATGGGCCAGTGAGCTGCACCCAAGCTTAGCTGCCGCTGAGCTGCCAACAGGTGGCAGGATGGCAAAGCTGGTGAGAGCACGTGCTCCTAACAAGGTTGCCTGCTCGAGATGGTGGGCTACACCCACCCACAACTAAAGACTGAACTCGGCACCTTGAGCTGAGCTGCCACCCGGGTAGCTCAGTGGATAGAGCACGCGCTCTTAACAACAAGGCTGGTTTGACTCCTGCATGGGATGGTGGGTACGCCCACCTGCAACTAATTGAACACAGCACCTTGAGCTGAGCGGCGCGACTGGACTTGGAGCTGAGCTAGCTGTGCCCTCCACAACTAAGATGGAAGGACAACAACTTAACTGCTCCCCTCCCCCAATTCCCCAATAAAAATTTTTTTTAATTATCTTTTAAAAGATGTGGGTCTATTTTATTGAACATGTGAAGGGTCCTATCAATCTACAATTCCACGTTCTTCAATTCTAGTAATTTTTCTTGAATTATTTCTTTGATCATGCCTTCCCTTTCACTTCCTATGTTTTCTCATTCTGGAACACCTATTATTTGGATGTTGTACCTCTTAGTCTTATTTTTTGATATGTTTCTTATCTGTATATAAGGCAAAGGACCAAAAAGGGCCAGGAACCATCTCCCTAGAAAGCAGTGGGGAATTAGCCATAATAAATAATTCTTCCCTGTCACACAACCAAAAATCCCAATTATTGTACTTAGATATTTTTAAGTGCTCTCCTGGATAACATTGGGGCTAAAGACGAAAAAGCAGAACTGCAAAGAGGCTATTTTAAAACAATTTTAAAAAAGGAAAATCATATAGGAAATCTTATGGGATGAGGCAAAGCTGATTCACAGGCAAATTCATAACCTTAAATGCCGTTAAGTTAATCAGAAAGAAATGAAAATAGGTAAAATAAACATTCGTTTAAATAATTTGGTTTTTATAAAAGATCAAAATAACTATGAAAAGAAATCTGGAAAATATAGTTAAAGCAATCTAGATTGATTAGTAATCAGACAGAAAAACAGTAGAATTAATAGATAAATTTTAGAATTGGTTCATGGAATCGCCTGGTTTCCACCATTAGAGGAAGCACAAATAAATGTTGTAAATCAAAAAGGGAACTATAGCTTTTAAAACTGTAAGAGGACTCTATGCATAATTATAATATTTTCAAGACCTCAGTGAAATTGACTATTTTCTAAGAAAACATAGCATACCGGAATTGTCTCAGGAAAAAATAAATAGACTACCTGAATAAACCAATACTAATAAAGAAAAATTTGAATGTAAGTTGTCAAAGTATTGCCTCCTAACATCGCTTCCAGCCTCAGATGATTTCACAGGTACACTACTTCAACCTTTCATGGAACAGATCGCTTCCATGTAACAGAAACCCCTTCAGGGCGTGAAAGAAGATGTAAATCTTATCAGTTCATTTTACAAGGCAAGCAAAGCTGTTGACATAATGTTTTAGATGAACCACAAAAACATTATGTTGAATGAAAGAAGCCAGACACAGAAGAGTATAAACTATATGATCCCATTTATATGAAGTTCAAGGACAGACAAATCTAATGTCTGGGGATAAAAATTAGAGAAGTGGTACCTCAGGGTCGGGTGGCGGGGCAAGACAGCGTGGAAGGAGCCAACGGGAGCTTTCTGAGGCCATGACAATGTTCCATATCTTGATCTGGTTGGCGGCTACTAAAAATACACTGGGGTGTGTATATTTGTCAAAATTCCTCAAGTTGCACACTTAAGATTTGTGCATTTTATTGTATATGAATTATACTTCAGAAA